GGGGGGGGGGGCTGCTGAGGCTGCTGTCAGCTCTGGGACTCTTGCCCTCTCCTACTGCTGGAGCCTGGAGCCAGCTCTCTGACCCTCACTCCCCCCAGACAGGCTGCAGGACATGGTGGAGGGATAATCTGGAGGCTTGGGCCAGCCCCCTGAGCCTTGCCCACCCAACTGATAGCCTGCAGGCTGTGGGGGAAGAGGGGCAGAGGAGAGGGTGCTGGAGGCCTTGATTGGCCCCCAGAAGCCTGCTCCCCCCATGGACAGCCTGCAGGCAGAGGAGGGGTGATACAGGATGGGGGCAACTCCCAGAGCCTGCCCCCCCACAGAGAGCCTGGAGGCTGGGGTCAGTCTCAGAGCTTTGACCCCTCTCCCTGGCCTGGCCTTGCCACCTCCTGCCCCAGACAGGCTGCAGGGTGGGACCAGCCCATGCAGCCCTAGCCTCCTGGGAGGAGCTGCCAACTAGGGATTGTAGCCCAGCCCTGCAGGTGCAGCTACTGGTTGGAGAGCACAGTGCCAGCACCCCGCCACCCCGCACCTCAGAGGAGTTGCAGCTACAGCAGCCCCACCCTGGCTGCCATGGGCAGCCCAGGTAAGCTCCCTCTGCAAGCTTCCCAGCCTCCTGCCTTTAATCTTGTCACCTCACAGTCCCTGCCCTCACTCCTGCACACTCACCCCGTGCCTGAACCCCCCTCCCCACCTTCCACTCTGAGCTCTCTGCTCTGATTCCCATGCCCTACACAATCATGTAAATAAAGCATGTACATTTTCCTTTTAATTTACAAAACCAAACTCCAAATATTACTACAGTTAAGGACCGAGTAACGCTGGGTACATCTGCTAGTACCTTTAAATAGCTACAAATCAACTACTGGCTCCTCTCATTTAGCCTTGCTCCTATATTTATTATTACTCATTGGACTTTTTATGTTGTATCTGTACACAGCCTATGGTCCCACCATAAGCCTATATGTGCCATGTTAGTCCCACTTAAAATATAAAAAATAGGATTTAAGTGGTGTTTTGGCTCTATGCAGAATTTCACTCATGAATAGTCTCAATAGTTTTGTGTATGGACTAACAGCATCAGTTAGGCTTGTGACCATTTTTCACTCCCAGTAGACTAATTGTTTTGACTAGTCCACAGACTGGAGATGGTGACATGACCAATCCATCTAATCTCTGCATTGTCTGTATTAATGAATTCAACAATGTGGTTTAAATCATGAGTGAAGTCTTTGGCTGTTTCCTTCTTTTCACCTTCCTCTTTAGATAATTGACTAATGGAATATTGTCAAGAATAAATGCTTTATTACTAATGTGAGAAGAAGTAGCCACAAAACAGCAGATTCTAATACAGTTGAAATTTTTGAATGTCTACAGGCAAATAGAGCAGGGATGTACATGCTTCCCAATAAATCTCATGTGGTTATATTGATTGTTCTACAGCAAGTTATACTGTGCTAGTTGAACGAAAAGTTTTTGCTCTCTATTTTAAGAAACTACCATAGTAATATAAAGAAAAAGACACAGAAACCTTTTCCTTATTCCTTTGACTCATTCCCTGATATCATTTTGGTGTATTTTCTATTTGGTGTTGTGACTGTAAGGTGGGAAACTGAGTCACAAGTCCATCTAATTTAGACTTCAACAAGTTTTGTCTTTATTAACATTTCAGACATAATTATTGTCATCTATGGTGTCAAACCACCCATTTATGTCAGGCAATAAACGGATAAGACTGAATAGTTAGGGATCACAAATTACTGCACTCTAGGAACCAGGAAGTTCTCTTGTACTTCATGATGGTTATTGCTACCTCTGGTCTGGTTCTTCAATCCCACTGCCTCAGTTTCTGTAGTTCAGTGTTTCTTTTACTGGATCTTGTTCATTTCAGTCTTTTTATACATTTCTTTGCTACTTCTTTCTGAACCTTTCTCCAATCAGTTTTAATCAGCTTTGTTAATTACATTTTAATAATTTATAATTATGGATAGCAAATGAGTTTAGATGAGAACACCGAAGTCAAGGCCTTGTTGAGCTAAGTGTGGTTTCTCCTACACAGAATTGCTGAGAGGACACTAGGGTATGCCTAGACTACATGCCTCTGCTGGCAGAGGCATGTAAATTAGACATACCGACCTAGTCAATGAAGCGGGGATTTAAATATCCCCTGCTTCATTAAAATAAAAATGGCCGCCGCATTGGAATAGGCAATGCAAATGAAGCATTGATTAGCATTTTCTCATGGTTCTTTTGCATAATCTCTTCCACTCCGTTTTTGCGCAAGAGGTTTTTGCGCAAAAACATGGAGTGTGGACATGTCTGTTTTGTGCAAAAACACTTTTTGTGCAAGATCCTGCCCACCACTAGTTAGAGCAGTGCCAAATTTGGATTGGGAAAGGGTAAATCAAGCCCTGAATATTTTCATTCTTCCTATTTTTGTGTGTGGCACAATCCAAATACACTTTAAAGAATCACATGACATATTTTGGAAAAGCACATTTGCTTTTTGAGAAATAGATTAAAGGGAAACAGAGTGAAAGGTTTTTTTTATTACTATACAGTATTCTTTTATCTCTTATGTTATTCTACATGATGTGGCTTCTGAAAATTCAGTGGCTTTGAGAATCAAGCCAGAAGTGTTTTATTTGGTTTTAGCAAATAAGTGGGACTTTAATCTAACCCTCCAAACTGCTGTATTGTCTATTGTTCAATTATCTACATGTGACTTGTAATTGTTTTTCAAGCTGAACAGAAATATCATCATTAAGTGTAATGACATCCCTGGGGTATGACCACAATACAAAATTCCCACAGAATATAGATCAGTTTGTTGCAATTAGCTGTTCCCCCCAAGAGAATTGCACAGCTAGAACTCCTTGCAAGCCAAGAGTACTTCTCATTAGCTTGTCTGTGTATGCAAGCTAATACACACTGTACGTGGCTCTGCCAAGTACTGCTAGCACTTCTGTTGATCATGACACATTTCTAATATCTTTTGCACTT